TGACCTTCCCTGAGGGTATGACAGCATTAACAGGGGCATGGAACCGCTCTGGTCCCTGGGAAAGATCCTGATGCCGGGCTGACACTCTGCGACTGTGTGTGTTTGTGTGTGTCTGTCTTTGTGTGTGTGTGTCTGTCTGTCTGTGTGTCTGTCTGTCTGTGTGTGTGTGTGTCCATGTGTGTGTTTGTCTGTATGTGTGTGTGTGTGAGTATGTGTGTGTGAGTGTGTGTGGTCTTCCGCAGATGCACATCACCACAGCCACCATTATTTTTATTCCCACTGAATGATTCGCACATACACAGACTTCCTCCCCAGTGACACCGGAATTTCCAGGCTGGTTAGTGACAGCGGCTCATGGGTCACGGGGACCCTGTGGTCTCTTGGCTTCCAGACGCTGCCATAAATACCCTCCACTGAAAGGTGAGCAGCAAAAGGCGCATCCACCAATCAGGCGGCTAGCAGCCAAAAGCACATCCACCAATCAGGCGGCCAGCAGCCAAAAGCACATCCACCAATCAGGTGGCCAGCAGCCAAAGGCACATCCACCAATGAGGTGGCCAGTGCTGAGCGGTGCTGCCCTGGAAATCCGTGACGGAAGGTACTTTCACGCTAGTTTAGTTTCGGATGCCGCGCTGCGCGGGAGCCCCCTCCCCGGCAGCCACCGGACGCAGATCTCTCCCGTCTGTTCCGCTTTGCCAAGATGGATTACACACCAGAGCTTGTTACTTGCTGTTAAACCTGATGATACCCACCGATTCCATCATTACGCGGTGTTTGGTCCGTGGGTGTCCTCTGAGGCGTGTAAATTCCCGGAGGCTGAAAAAACGCAGTAAAGTCCCTTAACGGCAAATGCCACAGCACCTGCCCAGCCCACAGGCGGCAATAATGGACAGACGCAAGGAGGCCCTTGCTGTCCTCTCCTAGACAGAGCGGTGGCCGGTCTGCTGGCCCGCTTCCCCGCGTCTCCATCCATGCTGGATTATCTTATTACCCCACGCTACTCGCGGGCTCCTGCTCCCCAGCCAAAGCCGGTGGAAACTGCAACTCAGGCCAAACGCAGAGGAAGCCACACCACAGAGATATCCTTATGCTACTGCAGGAAATGCTTTAAGTGCCTATGTGTTTTTTAGAGAGCTCTGTTCCACATCGGGAATCCCACACAGATATTTTAAAAAATCTACTCGCTTCCAAATGATACATCCTGGAACAGCAACAGAGAGGAAGGACTTGATGGACGGTCCTGTAATTACAGAACACACATTCACCTTGAGTCACCAGGTGCATGAAAATACAGCATAACATCAGAGTTTTGTATCAAAATAAAAGTTGTTTTTTGACATATTTTCTTAGTATCTGTGGGATTAAGAAAAAACATTCTAAAAAAATATATTCTGAAAGGAAGACAATATTATGTTGAAAACAGTAATAATACATGGTTCAGTGAAAAATGTGGACAGTTGTAGAAGGTGGTGTAAAGAATGTTTGTGCATCTTTGTGTTTGTGAGTCTAGGTGTGCGGGTGGCTGTTTGTACAGGTGTATGCAACTCTTCATGTGCATGTGTGTGTGTCTGTGTGTGCACATGTGTATGCTTGCGTGTTTGTATGCGTGTGCTTCTGTGCATGCGCCTGTGTGTGTGTGTGCTTGAGTGCATGAGCATGTGTGTGTGTGTGTGTGTGTGTGTGTGATCCGACTCGCGGCCGCCCAGCATCCGGTACGGGGGCGCGGGGTGTGAGGCCCACAGCTCCCAGAGGATCCGGCTCCTCACACCCTGGCAGGCCTTCCAACAGAATGCGTAATTCTGGAAGAGGCACGACTCAAAGAGCCAGCCGATTTACAATTCAAACAGGACCCCAGCGTCTGGGCTCTAAAGTTGGAAACACTTTGTTTTTCCTGAGGCTTCAAGCAGCGGTCAGAAAGCCCTGAAGCCATTGAGAGAACTCAAACACCATTTTCTATGCTCTCTCCCTCTCACCTCACTCTGTTCACTATGTCCTAGTTTTTCATTTGTTTTAGTTTTGTTAGGTGCCGCTGTGGCCTCTTACCTGCGAGGATGGGGGTTCGAATCTGGCCTGCGCTCTCCGTGTACGACGTCTGCTTGTTCTGCACATGTCACTTGGGCTGCCTCCCGCTGCCAGCTGGTCTCTCAAAATTCCCCGTTACGTTTGGGGCATGACCTGAAGGAGACCGTGATGCCATTCAGCGCGTCCCCTGCCGGCCTTCTGCTGCCGGACCAAGATAACCATCCGGAGGAGGGCTGGACGGCTGGATGCATGTGGCCACACGCAGTGATGCACCCCCCTCCTGCTTTAGTGAGAGCTGCAATCCTTCCAAGGCCGAACGGCGGCCCGGCGACAGGGACGGAACGTAATGTGGCCGCTACCGACCTCGCCAAGGAGGTCTGCGCTTTTAGCGGCCGTAACAGCGCGTGGTGCTGTCCGAGCGGTAGCTCTGGTCGTGACCCCCAGGAATGACTGGCTCCTCAGTGGTTAACTTGCCTTCGTTATTTTAGGCCAGGTGATGGTTTGGTCCTTGGAACCGCAAAAAACGAGAGTCCCTGAAATATAACAAAATTCCTGCGGACATTCACGGGCCTTGATTCATGCCCCAGTCACATGGCCTGTCCTTGGCGGGCCGCCCTTTTGGCTCCTCCCATGCCGTCTGCGGGCCTTTCCGTGGCCTCACACCTCGGCCCATAAACGCCGAACATGCAGTTATACAACGGCACACGGCTCCCTGCTCCTTGTCCCTAATCCAAAGCTAATACTTCTTCCCTTGCCAGGTGGCTTTTTTTTTAATGCCGGCATGTTTGGACGACCCACTTCCCCGTCCATGAGATCCCGAGGTGACTCTGAGGCAGGCCAGCGCCGGGGTGTTGCCTCCGGGACTAACACGTCGGCTGAGAGCAGGCAGATGGACTCACAGAGGCGGCTTTAACAAGGGCTAGCTTTTGTTTGGGCTGGTTAAGGAGGAGTGTGTGTGTGTGTGTGTGTGTGTGTGTGGCGGGGGGGTTCCCACTCCCCTGTCTCTTGCTCTGATTACTGCAGTTTTGGCAGCTGACTTTCAGTAATGAACGCCGGGCTGTCAGGGAAATTACTATCTGCCTGCTTTACAGAGGCTCTTTATTGCAGACAGTCACTGTCAGCTGGGCCAGTCAGCTTATTAACGACAGACACTAACTGCCTTCAAAATGTTCCGCACAAATTGGAAGCCAGAGGAAAATCAGGTTATGCTCTCTCAGCGAGCCGCTGCAGGCTAATGCTGACGTCTCGCAAATCAGACAGCGGCAGAAGAGAGAGGCGGAAAAAAACCCACCATCGTTTTTTTTTTTTTTTGAAGGACGCCTTAAAACCGACGGCACTTGTTCTTCACTGCAGAGCCGCTACAAGAGCAGCTGTCTGGAGGTGCGAGATGAGGAAGTGCGGGAGCGATCTGGTGTCATCGCAGGGGCTCCCGAAAGCCGGGTCTGTTGTGTTTATCCGACTTCCAGCAAACATGATGCAGGCATGAGCGGATTAACAGCAAGCCGGTGGGCGTAACAGAGATGGCCTGGGGAGAAATGTGTGTGTGTGTGTGTGTCTGCTGTTAGCAACAAGAGGTTCAGTATTCAAGTGGGACATGGACCCACAGCTGTTCCATGTATCACGCCCCCCCGCCCACCCCGAAGCTGAGCAGCTCGAACAGGGCAGGTAAAACGCAGGCCTGACACAGCTGCATGTCAGCCCCTCGCTGGCTTGGTGTCAGGGAGTCGCAACAGATCAGTCAGAGCAAAGGCAGAGTAAAGGTGGAGCAAAGGTGGAGTACAGGCAGAGTAAAGGTGGAGCAAAGGCTGCTTACTGATGGGGATGATCAACCTGAGTGGTGTACATGCCCCCAGAACCCGGCTGGGGATCCGTCTCCTGGCTTGTGGCTAAAGCTGCATTCCTCCCTCCTGGCAGCAGGTGATTTTCCACCTGGGCGACGTGCAGCTGTTTTTGGGATGACCCCCTCCCGCCCCCCGCCCCCTAACGGTGAGAATTTGCCCCACGAGGCGGCCTCCGGGCCTCACTGCCAGGAAGAGGGGGAAAACTCATCGTTCCAGAAGAACAGGATGGTCCGGCACGTGCGTGACTCTGCTCTCAGAGAAGCCCTGAACCTTACAGGGAGAAACACGGGCAGCATGATCAGAGCAGGACCATTCAAAACGGCGCCTTAGTGTGACCCACAGCCAGGCTTTGTCTGAGACATCAGTACTGGTACCTTCATCTGAGCAGGGCCGGAAGAAAGGCCGAAAAAATGCGAGATAGCAGGAAGACAAAAGGAGGATGAGGAAGGAATGTCACGCTCCTGCCAGTTCAGACAAGTCCCAGATCTAAAGAAAGGATCCTGTATCGTGTAGACGGGCACACGTCCTCCGATTGGGCCATGATAGCCCACGAAGAGAGGGCAGGTGGGTGTCTGGGGGCCCCCGAGCGCGTGGGCCGGACCTGCCGTGCCAGCTGATCTCCGATAGCAGCTCGTGTTTCAATTTCAAATTTAGCATGGGGGTGGGGGGCACCTGGAGGCTCTGCTGTCAGCCCGAGACGCTCCATCAGGGAAGCGGCTCAGAAGCCACACTCAGCATGTCCTTGTGATGTGTGTCGAGATCCAATTTGGCATCCATCTTTATTGTTGTACTGTGTCTGTATACTTTATGTTTTACATATAAGCAGCGGACTGTGTGTGTGTGTGTTTGTTTGTGTGTGTGTGTGTGTGTGTGTGCAGTCATTGGGCATGCAGCTTGTGACAGCAGCTCTCAGCTCTATTCCGAGGCTGTGGGTGACATCCAGGCCAGGCGGGGGGGGAGATGAGCATCCTGCTCCCTCTAGGCTGTGACCAGTGTGTCCCCATATGGGGGGAGGGGGAGACCTCCCAGGGTGTGCCTGTGTATGCATGTGTTTGTGTGTAGTGACTGAAAAACAGCAGGATGTAGCCAAGCAGACAGCAGAAGGGACTGGAAACACCAGCACTGTCACCATTTTTAATGGAAAGCAGGTGTGGGACAGTCTACACACAGCCCGTCTACACGCAGCCCGTCTACACGCAGGCCGTCTACACGCAGGCCGTCTACACGCAGCCCGTCTACACGCAGCCCATCTACACACAGCCCGTCTACACACAGCCCGTCTACACGCAGCCCGTCTACACGCAGGCCGTCTACACACAGCCCGTCTACACACAGCCCGTCTACACGCAGCCCGTCTACACGCAGGCCGTCTACACGCAGGCCGTCTACACGCAGCCCGTCTACACGCAGGCCGTCTACACGCAGCCCGTCTACACGCAGCCCGTCCATGTGCAGGCCGTCTACACGCAGCCCGTCTACACACAGCCCGTCTACACGCAGCCCGTCCATGTGCAGGCCGTCTACACACAAGCCGTCTACACGCAGCCCGTCTACACACAGCCCGTCCATGTGCAGGCCGTCTACACGCAGCCCGTCTACACACAGCCCGTCTACACACAGCCCGTCTACACACAGGCCGTCTACACACAGCCCGTCTACACGCAGCCCGTCTACACGCAGGCCGTCTACACACAGGCCGTCTACACGCAGCCCGTCTACACGCAGCCCGTCCATGTGCAGGCCGTCTACACACAGCCCGTCTACACACAGCCCGTCTACACACAGGCCGTCTACACACAGCCCGTCTACACGCAGGCCGTCTACACACAGGCCGTCTACACACAGCCCGTCTACACGCAGCCCGTCTACACACAGCCCGTCTACACGCAGCCCGTCTACACGCAGCCCGTCCATGTGCAGGCCGTCTACACACAGCCCATTTACACACAGCCCGTCTACACGCAGCCCGTCTACACACAGCCCGTCTACACGCAGCCCGTCTACACACAGCCCGTCTACACGCAGCCCATCCACGCGCCGCAGCACGTCCTTGTGCAGCCTGTCCACGCAGAGTATGTTCCCCAGCCCCCATTCACCCTGGGAGTCGTCCCCACTGCTGGATGTCCCTCCTGAACTGCTGGGGAGTGATGGTCCTATGAACCCTTCACCTTTCGGATCTCCCCGGGCTGACAGGCATCCCGTCCTTTAGGAACGCTTTGTAGATAGACACAGTGGGTGGAGAATTTGGGGGTTGGGTGTAGGAGGTAAACTCAAAACTTCACAAAACATATGGCAACAACGTGGGAGATGACAGCAGCGAGCGTGTTGGGACAAGGCCGGGGGGGAGGGGGGTTCATTTTGGGACAAGGAAGGGGGCAGGGGCGGGAGAGCAGTAACATGATACCTACAGCAGGAGTGACTGCAGGATCCAATGCAGCATCATAACACTAAACTGGGAACTGACACGTCAAAGGAAGGTTCCTGAAAGTTCTTCCGACTCTGTCACAACCCGACTGCCTACTGTAAGCCAAACGCTGTTGTCCGGATCACAGCATAAGTGCGGTTTACGCCAACTGCTGTGTGTGATGGCTAATTTCCCTCTGAGTCACAGCGAGTCAGCTGATCGAGCTCCCTGGGGACACAGAGTCTGGGTGCAAACAAGTGCTTCTGGTTCTGCCTGCCCCCCCCCCCCCCCCCTTTTGCTAGATGTGTGACCAAGAAGCCCCCGTCTGCCACCCCTTGCTGAGCTCACGGGTCCTGAGCACGGGGCGAGGCTGTGAAGCTGAGGTCAGGTCCCCAACGGGAGGGCATGGGCTCTCACGGCGCACAGCGTGTCGACACGGCAGGCCAGCAGGCAGACGGCACAGCGTCGCTGGAGGAGTGTGTAATGTCACGTTTCTCCACGGCCTCCGGCTGCCTCCCAAGGCCTCCCCGCCCCCATTTTTGCTCTCGGCTGCTATTTTGCAACCGACTGTAAATTAACTCACCAATCCGCTTTAAATTCGGCCACAACGCCCAGCCACGCCGAGGTTAGCATGTGTCCACCGCAGCCTGGGTAAGGGCAGATCGGGCGAGACAGGAAGCCACCGCCACCAAAGCTGCTACGTTTCAGAGGCTTACCATTTATCCTTGGTCTAAGCCTTGCTGCAATTAAACCAATCAGCCTCAGGCTTTCATCCCACCAATCAGCCCCAGGCTTCCTTCCCACCAATCAGCATGTAGCCACTGCCTGCCAGATCTACTTACAGTTTTTCTCATTTGCTAAGACACGCTCAGTGAAACTGGGATTCACTTGATCTTCATCATCACATTCTTAGCACAGGAGAAGTCTTCTCTTTCAAATGCCTTAACACTTTTTCATTTGTTTCGCACATTTTTCACACCCTTTGTCAAAACAGTCACCACAGATCTCATTGAAAGATCCCAAACTCCATTGGATTCACTGTGTTGAACAAAAGGAAAACATCTATTAACAGCTGATAGAAAGTACTTGCATAATTATGAATATCCAATGTACCTGTGTGAAACTTGTTTGCACAACTCTTCAATCAGCAATCAGTCTGTACACCTATAAATCAAGGTGTATATCAAGGTTTTTCACTGGGTGCAAGAGAGGATATTGAATGTGATGTGGATGAAGCCAGGTGGCCCCATCGTCAAGGCAGAAGAGACTGAGTATCAATAGTGGCTATTTCTTTTTATTTATACTTTATTGTAATAGATTTTATTTTTATTTTCTTAGCATCTGATAGATGTTATTTTGGTTTACATGTATTTTCTGTAATATTTACAGTATTTCAGGTTTTGGCCACAGTTTGAAAAAAAAGAATGTCATGGAATCAATAAAATTTGCATCAAAGCATTTCTGATTCTGGATCCAGTTCTTTGCAAGAAGTCAAATTTGACACAGCCTATGTAGAAAGATAACAGTTGGCACTGGTAATGACAGCTATGTAATAGGCTACAATGACAAGCAATGGTGCACTGATTCGCACTGAGCGCTGCATTTTGAATTTTGTTGTCCATCGTGTAATGATTGATTGAAAGAATAAATTAATTTGACCACAAGTTGTGGTGTTTGATGGAAATATTTGCTTATGTTGCATGTTTTTAATGTTTTGTGAGTGTTAGAGCATTTTGCTAACAAAATGAGTCATTTTGGCCATTGAACTTCAGTTTTATCCTGTGTGTTAACTGTTTTGAAAATGTGATGTCAGAGTGGGCAAATGTGTTTAAGCAATCGAGAAAAACTGTAATTAAAGGTTCATATGCTGCTCCGACCCCACCCCGTCTTTTCGGGTCACTCTCTCTGACCTGCAGGGCTGACATCCTGCTTCCTGCTTGCATCACTTCCTTTGGCTTTGCATGTGCATGGTTTCTGTCGCTGGACACACACACACACACACACACACACACAAACATAACCACCCCCAGAAATTCTATTCTCCTATATTATGCTTATTTTGTTATTTTGTTACTACTAGTAATACTACTAATACTACTATTATTATTATTGTTATTATTAATATTATTATTATTATTATTAACCATGCCTCTGAAGAATTCTTAAAAGCCTAACATGTCATGTTTCAATCAGCTTCCAGGGCCAGAGGTCCGGGATAAAAAGGTTTTAAATATAAAAATTTATTACAATTTATTAACAACTACGGGGACATTACCTGAACATTTTGCATAAAGTGATACATGCATTTCCCAGCCACGTACCCAGGACACGGGAGACTGACCCAGGCAGTGCAGTGCTGAGGATGCCAGTGGACTGCAGGGCGGCGCTCTGGCCAGCTCAGGCACACCGTGGTGAGGATGCCAGTGGACTGCAGGGCGGCGCTCCGGCCAGCTCAGGCACACCGTGGTGAGGATGCCAGTGGACTGCAGGGCGGCGCTCTGGCCAGCTCAGATACACCCATTCACACAACTGGCTGGAGTCTGAGAGAAAACCTGAGCATCTGCAAGAAAGACACAGGATACAGGAAGATCATGAAAGCTCACAGACAGACACACAGACACACACACAACGGGGCGAGATTCCAAACCCCATGGCGCCCACTACAAAAACAGCCAGCCATCCTTCATGTTTTATTTGACCTGTGTGACCTTGCCAAGGCGGAGTCCTTCCAAAGCAGCCAGTCGATTAGCGACCTAAGGGCAGACAGCACAGACAGGGGGTGCTAATTAGCGGGCAGGGCAGCTCCTTTAAATGTCAGTTCCGGAGACCACAAGCTATAAAAATCTATTATGCTTTATGACAGAGCACCGTGGCCGGGCCGCTGAGCTGGTGATAAGCACTTTTAAAAGAGCATTAACAAAACGCGTCGGGAAAGAGGGAAAAGTGGAGGACAGGAAATTGGCCCCTATGATGAGTGAAATATGAAGTGATTTTTATTGACAGTGCAATAACCGTTAGCCCGCTAAATGTGCTAGCCTGGCCATTTAAGGGTTTTCGACAATTAAAGACATTGACAGGAGAGTCATCAGTCCGAGTGTCCACCCTTGGCAGCGTGCAGTCGAACCTCAAGTGCGTGCTACAGGGCAAAAGGGGGCGTAGAGGGGGGGACTGGCTGAGGGACGACAGAAACGCTTGGGAAAAGCGACAACCCAAGCCTACTAGACAGTGGCGCTTCTCGGCGGGGCCTGGGTAGGGGGGCCTGGGTAGGGGGGCCTCCAACTGCGGCAGAAATTTTCATTGGCTTTATGTTTTAGTTTTTCCTTTTTTATCCACATTTTCAATTTCGGCTTAGTTTCAGTTGGATTTAAAAGTTCATAAATGGCTTTGCTTGTTACCTGAAAATAACTAGTGTCAGTTTACTTTTTATTTAGTATTATTTTGCTGCACTATGTTGAAAGCCTTGGATAAGGTAGGTGGTTGATAAGAATAGGATAAAAGACGATCGTTTATCTCGACTCTCACACCAAATCAGCTGAATGAGACCAGTCATGTTGTGCAGATTTTTGTTCCCGTCAAAACGACAGGGTTCCTCCTACGGAATGCCTACAAATAACTAACAGATGCTAAATTGACGATAAGCTGATAAGAAAGATATTTAAGTCATCCGGGAATCGTGTTTGAGAGTTTTTAATGGCTTTGTTTTTGCTGATTTGATTTAATGCTTTTTCATACTTTTAAAAGACCTGCGGGTAAACTGATTCTGAAGGGAAAGAAAACAAAGATATGCTTTGGAGAAATTTTCCTTATGCATTTCGTAAAAAACAATAATAATAATAACGTGTAATTGGGCTTCCTCTTGTTTTGTCATTTTAGCTGTAATCCAGGATGAAAGGAAGCCGCATAAGTGGCATGATCACTGTAAAAGTTCGTTAAGTAACCAGCTAACTTTGGTCTCGCTGGCTTTTGTTACGTGAGCTTTTTTAGATAACCATCACTGCCTATGACAACACACCTGCCTTAATCGTAAACAAGGTCATATTCTAGGTGATCTCAAACTGGACTTCAATTTCGCCATTTACGTCAACAAGTCGGTTAGCATGACCTTGGAAGGTCAGGTTACAACGCTCACTTACGACGTCACCATCTTCTGGGCATTTATGATTTAGCTACATAGAAGGTATCTGGTTGTAAAAGGCCCCGCTTCACGCTATGAAAATATGAAAAGTTTTTTTCTTTCTATTTCATTTTTATTTTTGTTATAGTAAACATTTCAGTTTTTGTTGTTTTGAAAACTGATATATTTGTTTCAGTTAACAAAGACATTTTTTGATTTCTAATTATTGTTTACATTAATGTTAATAACCATGACATCACATGGGAGCTTCTGGAAAACAACCACACAGCAAAGGCTGGGGAAACTGAATGGGATAAAAAGTAGGGCTTCGTAAGCCTGCGGGCAGCTCGACCAAAATGTCACATCAAGTTTGGAAACCTAAAAATCATATATGAAAAAGAGAAAACACACTTCCGATCGATGGGGAAAATCTACTCTAAAATTCTGTACCAGACTGGACACTGGACTCCGACTGCCGCACATCAACACCGATCAGTTGGATATCCTCGACTGACATGCTGGTGTACTTTTTGGGAGACTTAAAGCACTGTAGGAATGTGAGGGATGATTCGCAGCACATTCACCCTGAATAAGACCGAGAGTGCCTCCTTGTGCCAGATTCGGAGGTTGGATCGGTTGAGAATGTTGACAAAGCCTTTCTCAACACCACGTTCCTTTCACCCACGCCCGGAGAGAGACTCGTCACTGCATCTCAATCAGTCTGCAGGCTTACCTCCAGGACATCTACACGAAACGCTGTAATTAACACAGGGCTTTTAAGCTCAATAACACCAGCAACACCTTGGAGAGTCGGGTAAATGATCTCACCGAAAGCTTCCATCTATAAATCATGGGTGTGTCTGCACCTCGACATACCTGGCTGTGGAGCTCCAGCCCAAAGCATAGTTATAAACACCCCCCCCCCCATGGCATGCTCAAAAACACCTGTCAGCCCGAGGAACCTTCATTAGAGAAATGGCTTATTTTCAGAGAACATCTAGAGTGCAAGGTAAGATGTGCATGTGTGTGGAACAAAGGAAATAGAAGCTACACTTCGCATGAAATCCTGGGGCAGGACTGATGACGGTCCTGGTGAAATACAGGAAGTATTTTGCACTTCTCTTTCCTTCTGTCTCTCCACAAAGACATGGTGTTGAGAGAGCAGCCTTCCCACACTGAGGAGCTCTCGGCCTCGCCATCGACAGCGATCTGTGCGGCGCCGACTGATCGCCGCGTCACGGCACACGGAAATGGCCCGTGGTGTACGGTGGCACTACTTTAATGGTGCCAAACCCTGGAGAAAGGGCAGGGCAACCGCCAGCTGAACTCAGTGGTTTAGCCTGACAGGAGGGACAGCCCCTCTCAACAAGTGTGTCTTCCACAACAAGCAGAAGAATGTGTCTGGGGGGAGGGGGGGGTTACAGGGGGAGTGGCAGGTGGAGAAGCTTCCGCGGTAAGAGCAGCAACTCCCAGCGGCGCCCTCGATCTCCGGTGTTTGTTTACATTCTTTGTCACTCCTGAGGCAGACGAGCAGCCCCCATCGTAAATCTGTCCCCTGCCTGGTAAGCACAAAACCTCCCTTTCATTAGAGATCTGTGCCCATACCCCTGCGCAGCCCCCCCACCCCGCCCCCGGCGGCAGTGCGCTCTGCCTGGTGTGACAGCCGGCAGTCAAACCATGGCAAACGCACAAGTGCCTGACAGGTGACTAACTGGTGCTTAATCAGCCACTGAGGACAGAGACAGCTTAAGAACAGTAATAATAATAACCATAATCATAAATTAGGATCTACGAGCAAAGGGCGTTGCAGGTTGCACTGCCGTTGTAGCCTGCAGTGATGCCAATCCAGTTCCAGCCCAAACACTCAGCTGTATAAACGGGTCAAGCTTAAATTGCAAGATACATGAGTCAGCAGGACATGGCGGACGCTCCCTAATTACAGCCGCTGTCACTGTAGGGAGGGGCTTTCTTTACAGGCTCCAGCCAAGCCTTGGAGTGCAGGAAGGGACGTACAGAAGGGCAAACATTCCAGGTGTGTGAATGAGATGCCAGTGATTCTCTTTTGTCTGTTTGCACAATAGGTCGGGATTATAGTGACAGATGAAAGGGAGCAAAGTCCTTTCAGGTGAAGATGGAGCCGAACGTTAATGCAGACCAAATGCTGCTGCATGCACTGGAACAACTGGGAACTGTGGAGTAATGAGAACAAGGACAGCCAGTGGGGGGGGGGGGGGGGCAGGGGGGATTACAATACCCCCCAAAACCCCCAAACTGCGGACAGCAGCTCCAAGACAGAAGTTCTGCTTTTCGTTTTGCCCCAACCCGCAAAATGGATGATCTCTGTCAGTAATGACTTGAATCCTCCAGATCTTAAACCTGACACTGCTGCACTGCCCTCTAGGTGGCGCTGTGAATCCCCATCACGAGTTGCGCAGACACCTCTGTGGCATTCTGCACAACCTTGTTAGGAGTCCCTGGGTACATCTTAACTACTCAAAAGTTCAGGCACTAGCATTTGGGTACCCAAGTCACAACCTGTTTTTAAACCTGATAACCGAGGACAAGTCTCTGCTGAAGCCTTGGCCATGGCGCAGTGGAGCCGTCGGATTGCGGTGCTGTTCACACTACACAACTTGTCGTCTTGTGATCATTAAGTCATTGCGGTTCACACACTACAGGACTGATCAACAACCGGGGGTGGGGTCACACACACTACAAGATGTTTCACCATGAAGAATCCACCTGGTCTCCAAGGTCAGAATTACACAAGGATATCGCATATATATATATATATATACACACACGCATCTCCCTGAACACTAAGAACAGTCTCTAAACAAATGTAACAACTTTTTACACATCTCATTGGCTGTAGCTGTGACACTTTTCACATCTACAGGATTTGCAGTCGCTGACAAGGTCTACATATTTTGAACACAACATTTCTTGCCTGCATGTGTGACTCCATCGGGTCACGTCTTTGAACAGTTGAACTGATTTGCCAGCCCCGATCATACACCGATTTGCTTTTGTCGGTCTCCATAAACTGTCGGCGAGGCGAAAATCAGGGGTAAAATAGGATCGTGTCCTTTACTCTATGATGAGTGAAATAGTCATGCTGATTTTCCCAATTCAGGGAATGATGGCGTCCAGGATGGGAGCATCGGCACACGACACGGAAAACTTCTACCACAAGTATGCGGGTATTGGCTTTATCGTGCAGAAGTGGGCCGGCCCGGTTTGACCGCAATCCAGCATCGCTGCTGATTTCCTGGGGGCTACTTTGTGGAAAGGCTTGAGCTAGCACATTAGCACTTAATTCGCCACCTCAGAGACGTGTGGTCTCCAGGGCTGCCAGGAGCAACAGACCAAAATAGACCTGCCCTCTTCCTCTGTGGCTGGGCTGAGCTGTTGTAAACGCAGGGGGAGGGGGGTGACACACTGCAGCTTTGAAACCACAGACATGTGTGTCAAACCACGCCTCAGGCGGGCTCATTCCCAGCATCATGCCCGGCCCCACCCCTCCCGCCCCCAGACTCCGCACGCAGGTAGTGGGATGATCTGAAATACACTGCACACAGCTGTGCCTCACAGATCGACTGCAGCGCCTGGCTCCGAGTTTGCAGTCGTACCACACTGGATCAGATGGAACCGGTAGCTGTTTTTTAAGTTCTGAGCTTCAGTCATGTTGGCGTGACAATCCTGCCCCAAAGGGGGCCAGCTGGCGACCCCTGCTGCCAGATGCAGGACAGGCACCCAACACACGAAGGTGAAAGTGGAAGCAGGTTTGCTAAGAGTGATATCTGATTGCTTCATATGGCCTTATGGGGGCAGCAGCGGCAAGGGAAGCACCATAAGTCACCTGATTTGGCCAGCTGGAGGTTGGGGGGCGCAGCAGGTAAGACAATTTATGCCACGGCCCGGGGGGGGGGTGCAGTGAGGGCGGAGGCGCTGATCGAGCATCAGATGATAGAGTGGTGCAGACTGACTGCTGAGAGCAGATAACACAATGAACATGGAGATGTGCAGTTCTGTGACTGGGCCATTAAGGGCTCTCAGCTGGCAGCGTTCAGGATGAAGTCTCTGCTTTACAGCTGGCACAGCAACATTAGTGCTGAGCTGAAGTGAGAAAAGAAACAATGAGCCACATCAGAAGGGCTGCCAGCCAACACGGGGGCAAGGAAACGCTTCTAATTAGAATTCATTAACAACGGGGAAAGACTATTTTGTTCCTTAAGTACTGTATTAGCTCACATCAGCAGCCCTGAAGAGGGGCAGTACGCTGCGGCTTTTTACGATGGGTTAACCCAAGCAGGACAGGCCTGACTGTGGACTGGCCAGAGTCTGATCTGAGCAGGACAGGCCTGACCGTGGACTGGACCAAGTCTGATCCGAGCAGGACAGGCCTGACCGAGGACTGGCCAGAGCCTGATCCGAGCAGGACAGGCCTGACCATGAACTGGCCAGAGTCTGATCCGAGCAGGACAGGCCTGACCGGGGACTGGCCAGAGTCTGATCCGAGCAGGACAGGCCTGACCGTGGACTGGCCAGAGTCTGATCTAAGTAAGGCCAATCAGATATTGACTGAATGCAGCATCTCCTGATGACTCTCTCTGGCCTGATTTCTTTTGGCTACTGAGTACATTTGGTCTCAGTTTATTTCTAGCTCTGTATCACAGAGGTACAGATCCTGGAGCAGAACCAAGATGGAGATATCCAGATCTGCAGGACAGCCTAATTTCAGTTTAACTGCAGTTAAACTGAGAAGGTCTCAGACCTGTAGAGAACTGGCACCACACTCAAAGCACACTCTCGCTAGCAAGTCTGCCGCTGGAGTCCAGGGGAGTTTATTTACAGTGAACTTGCAGGGTGGATTCCTGACCGCTTCAGGGCACTGAGATGGGGGCCGGTGCTGGACAAGATCGCGCTCTCCCCCCATCCTCTGGGGGTTTCTCACGCTCCTCCGGTTTCCTCCCCCAGGCCAAAGTAAAACCGCTTTGGATAATGGGTCGGTGTGAGAGTGTGTGCACGTGTGTGTGTGTGTGTGTGAGTACCCTGGGATCGGGCTGCCGTCTTGTCCAGCATGAACCCTGCTTCATGCCCTGTGGTTCCTGGAACACACTCCGGACCACAGCGACCCCTCCTGGATAAGTGGGTAAGTGCTTATTGGACGTGGACAGACTGGCGAGAGCTGAATGCTGTGCAGCGTGTAACAGCACTTGACCTGTTCTGTCTCTTGTCACCTGCGGTTTCCCCTCCTCAGGTCTTCTGATATTTTTATCATGCTACTGAAAAATAGAGACTAAAAACGTTCCCTGCATAGCTCTCTGCTCAAAGCTCATCAGTGATAATTTAGTCACTCAGGGAATCAGCAAGGATTAGTTAGCTAGCCAGATATGTCATCTTTAATAATACCTTTTTAGTATTCAGTTTTAAATGAATCATAATTAATCAGCCCAACTGTTTTCTGTCTCCTGCTTAGCTCTCTGGCTGGAGGGCTTGCTTGGCTCCATCACCATCGCTCCATGAGGTGGGCTACATAACGAGGGGCTTCCCGCCACAGGCTGGACCGGCAGCCATGCCCACCTCTCAGCAGCAGACCGGGCGCAACCGGCCTGATATGTCAAACTTTCAGTAAGGAGAGATTTAAAGTAGGACTTGCTCCTTTTTCTTCTCTAGTTTCTCCTAAATATATTTGTGAAGACTGTTTGTGTCCCCTGTTCTGGATTTTGGGCATGTGAAGGGGCTCCCAGCAGTGAGTCAGCACCCAAAGCCCAGAGACAGGCTGACTCATAAAGACTGCCCCCCCCCCTTCAGAAGAACATGACATTAAATAACTAATGACTTTGCTGGCATTTTTTTTTTCACGTGGGAAGGAGGGGGGGGGGGTTTAGTTCAGTCCCCAGACCTGTGATATAAACCCAGAGCCACACTCTGTCTCGGGGAGAGTGTTAGGTAGGTATAATATTACTCCCCAGGGAGGAAATTACTTTTCTGCGGCAGGTCTGGGTCCATGCAGCAGGATTAATGCCGACACAGTCACATGGTAAATATGACACAGTAATAAACACCTGCTGGCCTATAATAACCTGACACGTCAGCGGCTTGTGCCTTACAGTGACGTGCACGGACTTTTCGAGGGGCAGGTGCTTGAATGGGGGGCGCGGCTGAAAAGGGCACTCGGGACATCAAAGGGGCGAAAGGCCCCTGCCGGCCCCCTGTGCCTGGCGCTTCCTGTGGTGTAGGGGCCACGCGGGAGGGTCACGCATGCAGACCAGCTTCTGCAGGCTTAAAGAAAGGCTGAAGTTACTGGTGGATTTCACACAGCTGACTGGTGCAAGACTAACGCCCCCTCCAGGCCCAATGGGAGTCGGGCCGCAGGGTCCTGCCTGAGCGGCAGAACTTACACTAATGACAGTGGCACGTAATTGATGGTGGCAATTATATAATAAATGCTTACATTTACCAGTGTCTATAAAAAGGAATATTCGCCTGTTCTCCACATTATTACTGCAGCCAATTAAACATATATTTTCATATTCAAGCATCAGAAGCTTATTAGCTGTTTCGCTGAAGAACCAGCCAGTGTCAGCATAACCAGCATGGTTAATTAATGTATGCTAATATGACTCATACGGGAACTGAAACAAGAATAATATTGACCTTCACCGTGTTTGAAGTCTAAGGATAGCACTCACATACAAAACGTATTTCTCACAAATGAACTTCCTTTTCAGCTTAGAATTAAATGCATGTTCTTTCCTGGAAATCATTGATTTTTTTTTCCAGCAGAGTGCCTTTAGCTTCCTGAAGCCCAGTTATGTATAATGACGTAATGATCGTCACGGCGACCATGTGCACCCTGCTGGCGTTTGTCTGCTTGCCAGAGAGGCTTGTGATTGGACTGGCTTTCATGAAAGAACATTAAACAAACAGAGACGCGCTCGCTGGAGAGGCCCCACTGTTTGCTCCCCTTTTGTTCTCCATCTGTACGGCGAAACTATGTTTACAACATTCGGCAACTACCCAGCCCCCCCCCTCCCCCCGGTTTTTGTGGGTTTTCTTTCCCTGGTGCCCCTCCCCACCGCGCGGGGAGAGCTACACGATCCGTTTTGGT